AAACAATAAAAATTTTCAAATCTATCATAGTATACCCTGTTTAATGTTTAATATAGTATGGAAGTTTTTGTAAAGCATCAGCTATTTAAAAAAAAAGCATGCAGTAGCTGTCAATGAAACCAAATAAAAATCAAACAGAACTCTATTACACGTTATGCAACAAAATTAATGAATATGAACGTCTATAAACATTTTTTTTTTCTTTTTTTTAACTGGGACCAGATCTGGAAACACCAACTAGATCTTAGGCAATAAAATTAATAAAAATTTATGTTGATAAGTACTTAAGAACAAAATGGCCGAACTTTCAACTAGATAACCAAATAAAGTGTTTGCGTTCTAGAGGATTTTATTTACTTTACATACATACATACATTATCTTTACATTTACTTTCATAACTGGTATAATACATAACATACTCTTATCATCGAATGGTTATGATTTTCTATAGTAATAAGCAAATTTTTTTAACAGTTTCTACTTCGTGTCTGCAAAGTATTCCTTTAAATTGCAAGGTTTCGCGATATTAATTTTCTTTCTGACAAAGTTATACACGAATCCAAACATTAAAACCTTCGTAATCGATAAACAACGGCCATTTCATTATCGGTGGCAAAAGTCTGCCTATCGATAGTAAAAGGAAAGTTTGGGCCATCCGAAAAAGCGGCGACCCCTTGCCTCTTCGTCACTATTAAATTCGTGAAACTGATCTGACTGTAAGTTCAGATCAAGAAGACTAACAACAAGAACAGAGCACGTTTCCAATAGTTACGCATGATTAATTTTTGGTAAAATGCATAAATATATTCCTCATTCACATTGTAGAGTATACATTTAGTTTTACTAACTAGTTATTTTATGCTAATTATCTTCGCTGGTTTTCTCGCTTCCATTTTCCTGCCGGAATGCTAATTTCTAGTTCGCGCGTATTAAAACCAGGTAGAAAAAAGGTAGTATTTAAAGGAAGGTTTTAGTGGGTAGAATTACAGCTCGTTTCACCTCCTGAAGGCCACGTTTGCTATTTGATTCTCTTGGATTTTCGTGAGAGCTTATTATCTGTGGCATTCTCGTAATTAGGCTTGTCACGCCGACATTAGGTTTTTCAGACAACTTGCGCGTTTTGTGTCTGTGTAGCCTTTGGATAATTACAATTAACTTATTTTTGGTTCTCTTATGTCTTAAGTTAAGCCTGGTTCTGTATGCACAAGCAGTGCCTTCTATTAAACTTACCAAAAAGAATGACATTTTATAACAACCAAGAAAGAGCTCCGAATTTTTTAAATATTCTGAGATTAAACATTAATCAAAGGATAGATATTTTAAGACGGAACTTATAAGGTATTTTCCCCCTCCTTTCTGCATGCCTTCGTGGTGTAACGGGAGCACTCTCGGCGCATATTCGAGGGTACCAGGTTCGAGTCTCAGCGAAAGCATTGCTCATTTTTCACGTCTACAGAAAAAAAAAAAAAAAAACTAATGATTCTACAGTGGCACCCAAACTAAAAGATGGTGGATGATGATTCTTCATCACTATGATTTGGCGACTGAATCCCCTAATCCCCAGTCGCCCTTTAAAAGGGGGTACCTATCTTCTCTCTCCTTTCTGCATCCCTAAATAGCTTCGAACGCGAATTGCTTTAAGGACTGGCAATAACGGCAGAGTAAAGCTGTTTCATATCGCGGAGACCATGTCGAGTAAAGCTGATGTGCGAATGCGTTAAGTGAACTATGTGAATTTATTGTAAAAACTGCGCTTCTCATTACTGACCAAACCTCGTATATTAAATGACAATTAGAAAGGATACGAAGATAAATAATGTAAGTATTTGTGCTTACATTATTATACTCGTTTATATGTATATTAATGTAAGTATTTGTGCTTACATTATTATACTCGTTTATATGTATATTAATGTAAGTATTATACTCGTTTATATTTCATTGCATATTGTTTTTATCTGTCTTTTATTATTGTGCATTTGTTATTGTTTATTTTTTAGCTGCTTTGTGTCTTACTTTATTATAACTGTGTGTGTAATTCCTTGTTGTAACAACTTTATGCTTTTTGTGTAACTTTTAATTTACTCTAATGACTGTAATATCAAATCTTTAATGTGTTAAACACTTCGTAACACCTGTCACCAGTGCAAATATGCTTTAGAATTATGTAAATAGTATAAATAGAGCTTTAAACATCGCTTTTTGAAAACCCCCTAAGAGAAATGACAAAACTTTTTGTCGCTACTAAAAATTCAGTGAAGTCCGCCCTTGTATAGTGAATGAACTTGCTGTTCTCTCTTCGTTTTGAACATTCAGTGGTCTGCAATTTAGGACATAATCAACACTATATTATTCTATGATAAGGGTGATTGTAGCGATACGTTTTAATTAAAACTTTATAGTTGTTTGAAACTATTGTTAGCAGAAACTGCTTTTAATTGTTTCTTCATTTGCAATAATCATCACTGTCTGGAACTGCAGCAAATGTCCAGCATTAATTTTCATCCGGCTCTTTTATTTAAAACAATAGGCAACAGTATGTTTGACATTATGGTAATTCTATTGTATTATCAGGTTCAATGTTTCTTCTAACCTTCTTCGGAAACATACAATGACCTGACTAGAACAGAGAGCTTACTAAAGCTATGTTCACTAATTGTAGTAAGTAGACAGGATACAGACGAAGGGTATACAAAACCCTTTATTTTTTCTTTATATACAATGACTTCCGTACTTCGGAATACAATGACCCTCCACTCGGGGTCTAACTTAAAAGATATCAAAATAAAACTAAACTCTAATTTAACTTTAGAATAAGATTGGCCTTATAATAACAGGAAGCGTATGTAGCACACAGAGACTGTGAACACTACAATACGTTTAATTTATCAAGAGGATTAAAACCTCTGGCCTGGAAGGCAAAGTAGCAACTGCGTAACTTCTAAGGTAAGCGGCCTGCTTCGAACTCACGGCTTCCTCTCTTCTGCTTGGCAAAAAGGCCACACTTAAATACTTGGCGTTCGCCAGACAACTTTGCATAAACTCCTTCACGCTTATAATTCTGGCCGGAAGTAGAAAATAAGAAGTGATAGTAAAGATTTAAAATAAAATAAACGTTAGTAAAACTTAAGATCCTTACAGTATTAGTAAAAACTAATAAGCCCCTAATTCTCAAACGAATCGGATAATGCTTTAAATTAAAATGGCCAACAAACGTACCTCTGCTCTGAACAACGTTCTCATTATTCTCATTTTCGAAAACATTACATGTAAACGTAAACACTGATCAACTGAGTGAGTCTGCAGCGGTTTAAAATCGAAATTTCAATTAATTTTCATCTTCTTACGTACATATGCACATTTTTAAACCTTTTTAATGTTTCTGATATTTTGCGTAATCCCAGCTAATGTCCAAGTTAAAATAATTTTTATATAAGTTCGGAATTCCCCCACACACACAAAAAAAAAAGGGGGAAAAAAGAAAAAGAAAGAAAACCAAAACAAATAAAATGCGAAAAATAAAATGCGTTATTGAAATTATTTTTACATTGTTTCTTTTTACTATATAAGGAAGTGTGCACTTATTATTTCTGGAACACTGTTAACTGCAGCTATACGTCCACGCCACACATACTTTTTTTTCTTTTCAACTTTCCGAATTATGTTAACCAAGATGCTTATGTCGCTGCTAATGATAGAAATAATAACTAAAGTACGCTGAGGGACTTGAAAGGTCGGAGAGGTCAACATAAATTTTTTGTTTTCTGAAGGCATAGTTCGTCAAGAATGCTTCGGCTTTCAAATGTGGGGTTCCACCCTTTTATCTAATAACTAAATGTGGAGAAACCAATGAACAGCTAAGCGAATAATCGCTTTAATTCAGGAACAGAGATGTAAACTCAAGAAGGGTTAATTACCCTTTAAAATAAAAGATAAACAGTCGGCTCCTTTCTCAGGGCGTACAGCAAAGCCTCCACTTGGGCTTAAACTCAAAAGTGTAAAAATAAGAGCTTAACTAAAGAGATGTAGCCGAAGCTATAACTAGTTGGCTCCTAAATAACGAATTAGCTAGCGAAGCTATCAAGTGCCCGTAATACGGCCGAGCGTAGTAATAGCTTATAGAGACGTGGCCAAAAGACAAACGCGCGCTAGTCAGAAACTCTGATGCTCTCTCTCGAAGTTCCAGGTTCTGCTAGTCGCCACCATTAACATGCTAAATGCATGTTGTTTTCCAGCTATCATCTCTCGAAGTAAGTAGAACTTGGACTTCAATACTATTCTTACTCATTTGCGTTAAACGCGATACTAAAAACACATTATGGTAGGAAAATGTAAGCTGAAATTAGGAGATATAGGAAAGGGAGCTTAAAAATAACTGTTAAAAACTTAGGATAAACTTTACACATTTGAAAATGTAAATTTTATAATAATAAAAAATCTTCCTTTCTTTCTATACTATACGTAAATGTAATCATGAAGATGCCCTTTAATTTTATCAAGAGCTGAGAGTATTGAAGATACACAGCCAGCTTTCGGTATCTGAAGCGCAAATTTTTATCGAAATTCATCAAAATGATATTGTAAAATTTCCTCAAAAAACATTTGGGAGATATCAGTATAGCAGCTGAAATTATTAAATAATTAAATGATCATGTTTTTACTGAACACCTGTGTCTAACATGCTCCATAATCTGAACTTCATTTCCGCAAAATTGGATTAAACTTTAAATGCTTAACAAATGCTATTGTTGCTTTATTTGACATCGATTCAGCGCCTCAATACCTCACATTTTATATGTTAAAAAGTGAGCTTCAGTATTTCATTTTATTTGCATAACATTCTAATTATATTTCCCTCTTTGAATGCATAGAATGCTTTTCATCTTACGCATATCCTACGTGTATTTATTTTTACATGAATAAATATGTCTTTATTATTGCCTTTATTGTTGCAAATGTGTTTACTGTGTGCTCATATTTTGAAATATCTGATTTACAGGAAAACAAACCTGTGCCTGAACCTGCAGCAGATGGTAACTTGTTTTTCATTTTTTGTTTGCATTTTGTAGCAAATGTTTTCTTTCCTGAATGATTGCTTAATTAATATTCACAGCTCACGAAAAGTTATTTTTTCTGTAAAAATAATTACCTCTTTTTCAGGTGGGCAGTTAAAATAGTACAGTACTTTTCATTTAATTTCATAATTATAAAAGATATATTTACTTTGCAATATATATAAAAATGTTGAATTTAATACCTTTCTAACAAATGCAGGATAAATAACGTGTTTGTAACTACATCTAGTATCAACAAATATGTTCTATATTCATTGTTATATTGTCACATTAATTTTTCTTCTTTTTGGTGGTGAGGGGACTGAAAGCAATTAAATTTTCTCCAAAAATCTTATATTACAACATTTCTTTAAATTACAACATAAAAAACACTTTGGTTAGCTTCGCTTAGTGTATTTTTACATCTTTAAATATTAAGTAACTTATAATAACCCTATTGAAACATACTATTGTGTCCTTTCCTTAAATAACATTTTAAAATAAGATTCAAGTACATTTGAACTCCCATCAAATATTGTAAATACACTGGTCTGCAAAATCAGGAGAATCTGCAAATTATATCTATTTTTACGAAAATAATTTAACCAAAGGTACTAATTGTAACACCGAAGAATTATGCAAATGTTCAGAGTCGTATAAATAATCATACAAATCCGTGTCCGCGGAGCTGTGGTTGTGGAGGTGATATAATCCCAAGAGAGGTTTTCGAAAATTTGTGTGCTCAGGAGAATATTTTGATAGCATACTTATAATTATTTTAGAGTGCATATCATTAAAATGAAATATGTATAGAACCATTTATTGCAATTATTTCTTCTTTTCATATACTGATGTGATTATATGATGAAATAAAAAGTGAATTACTTTCAAAATTTCCTAATTTTTTGAACTGATGTTTCTTAATTAGTGATCTTTCTGTACATTTAATGCATTGTGATTTATTAAAATATATTGATAAAATTTTAAATTAGCAATTAAATGCTAAACATTTTTTCGAAATTTATGTTTTGCAATGAAAGTCAATGTACTTCATATTCAATACTTATTTGATTTACGTGATGTTTAATATTTAAGAGGTCCTAATTGGAATTCATTCTGTTGGCATTTGTGGTTCTGATATTCACTGCTGGAAAAAGGGGAGGATTTGCAGTCTAACTTGTGAAGGTCCTTTGATATTAGGACATGAATCGAGTGGTACTATCGTAAAAGTTGGTGATAAAGTTCAAAACTTAAAACCGGGTATGTTTTATACTTTATATTTATATATTAGGTTTTGTTCTAAAACTATTTTCAATTTACTGTAACATTGTTTATAACAGTTCTTTTTCTCTCATACTGAAAATACAATATTTTCATGCTCTGTTTACTTTATAAGAATTTTAGGTCTTCTTATCTAATTATACAAACAAAAAACAAAACAAAACAAAAAAACCCTTAAAATGTTTCTTCGTGCCACTCAAAAGTTAGATAACTGTGACATGCGCTGGTTGAACTCCTGCATTCATCACGACTATATTCTGGAAAAAAAATGTCAAAAGGAACAGCACGGAACTCTTTTGTTCGATATGATAATATTCGTGGATTGTGGGGGAAAAGCTAAATCCTATTTTGTTCTTTCTGAATGCAAAAATAAAAGGTAACTTAAGCAGTTCAACTTTATTTGTAATATATAGGAAACAATATTACGTAATTTTGCCAAACGATTAACATTAATTTGTAATTTTGCATAACGACATAATGTGCTAAATAAATACTACAGAATTGCTCACTGATGAGTTTCAAAATAGTATTTACATGATTTCAGAAATAAGATATCTTGGCATATCCATTAATACAGGTAGAAATAATTAGTATTACATATAATTAAGAATTTGTATGCAAGTATCGTATTGTCGTTTTAAGAAATTAAATAGACTTGTGAACTAAATCTCTTAGATTTACACCTACGCTTCTACTATTGGTCAGTATGAGCTGCCAAAGGCCCAAGGGAGGAAACTGATATGTTGCAGTTGTGCTCTGAGACAATCTAGACACATTTGACAACCATGACACATTTCAGACATGTTTTACATCATTATGTTGTGGAATTTGTGATTGGAAATTCATTTGAATTATTTTGGCTTTCATGTTATTCATACTACAGAAAAAAATCAATGACCCCAGAAATTATATTTAATTAAGGAAAACTTTAGGTCTCTAGAGTCAGAAAAATGTTAGGTCTATAGAACCCTAAAAACCCTTTTTCGACAAGAGATCATCTATATATATATTTGATCAGTAACAGAATCTTCGTTGCAAATATGTAGATCAGTGAAGTCAGTTATTATGATGTTTTCTGAGATAGTACATAACTTCACCAAAAGATGGCCCTCGCTTAAGGTGATTATGAATTGGTGTCCACCGAAAACATCGCGGAAGAAAACGTCACACATAAAGCAACGTAACGCGAAAAGGTTACGACCGAAAACATCGCAACAAAAACGTCACGGAGAAAACAACGCAAGGCGAAAACGTCGTGGCACAAAACATCTTGGGAGAAAAGAAAGCAAAGAAAAACATCGCAGTTCTAAAACGTCGTGGTGCAAAATATCGCTGTCGACAAAAAAGAGGTTCCAAAACTTTTCGCAGTTTAAAAACATCATCGTTGAAAATATTGGGGTAAAAAATAAAGCACGTACAAATCATCACATAACGGTAACATCGCACAAATGCGTGCCAAACCAAAAGAACCAAATAATAAGAAAGAATATATTTCCATTTTACATCACGTGCATTTATAGCTGAAATAGGTAAACAAAGTGGCAGTAAGCATGAAATCACATTTATTTGATAATTTCCCCCTGAGCCATCTACACATTCAAGCATGCTTAACTCTGCCTACCCTGATTGACTAGGGTTAAACCTTATTCCCCGAGTATGAAAGGAGTTATTTTCTTTCATGCCTTAACACTATTACAATAATGATGACTACACCATCGCGTGAATGCTGCCTTACTGGTCTTCGGACTAGTAACACTTCGTATTGGGAAATATTGAACCAAAAGAGCATCATTTACAACATAAATACTAGACAAGAAGTATTTCATGAATACGTGCACTTAGTAGTTCTACGGAGAGTCCATTTTTGAACTCAACACTCTATATATTTAAAATTTTTCTTAAAGAAGATAATTTTAACTATGAATATGTAGAATTGGACGTACACATAAAATTTATGCAAACATTTTCTACCTTTCAAACAGCAAAATACCACCTAAATTTAAATTATTTTCATCGCCTTTAAGCTTGTAGAGACATTAGGTTATTTCGAAGCAGGAGAGAGGAAAATGAGCAATGCCCTCGCCAGGGCTCGAACCACGGACCTCTCGAATACGCGCCGAGCGTGCTGACCACTACACCACGAAGGCATGTTAAGAAGGCGGGAGAAACACTTTATGAGTTTAATCATTTTTTAAATGTTTGAATAGGTATGCATATGTCATCAAAGATAATAAATTATTCCCTTTGGAATTTTTTCTTCTTGCAGACACTGGCGGCTTAATTTCTTTTTTTAGCTGTGCTTGCAGTCTATTAACTTTTGTTATAGTATTTATGCTGTTCGAATATGATTTTATGCTTTTTATTTAATACATGATTTCTTTCGTGTTTGATTAGTGAATTTTACTTCCAGTTTCTTATGTTTGTCATAGTTACATGCAACACTGGGATAAATTACTGTTTCCATTTTAAATTTTTTCTAGCAATTCATTTAGTGTGTTTTGATTTCAGGAGATCGAGTTTGCATCGAATTCGGTAGACCCTGCAAAACGTGCGAATTTTGTAAAAGTGGACGCTATAATCTTTGTGAACTTACGAAATTCGGTGCACCTTTCGATGGATCTCTTTCACAATATTATTGCCAGATAGCGGACTTTTGTTTCAAGTATATGATTTTGTTTAAATTATCATTTCATGTTAGATTTAATGTTTTCAAAACAGGACTATTTTACAGTTAAGTTCTAATTAAGCAAAATATTGTTATTTTAATCAATTCTCATAATGAATATGCTCATATATGTTGTTTTAGCTTTTGTGGCTTAATTAAGAGGAACAAAAGAAATTATAATAATGTTATGTTGCATAAGTATGGTAGGGAGATTTCGTAAAAACGCGAGTCAGATTGTCGGTTTTAGCACCGGTAGTACAGTTCATTTGTCGGTAGTACAAAAGTTATTTAAAAAATTAATTAGTTACAATTATTTTAAATTTAATTATTTTAATGTAGAGATATTTGTGCAAAAAATGAACTATTAGAATACAGTAGGAAAAGTACTTCAGTATGAAATGAGATCTTTATCAAATGTTTATCATTGAGTATGATTTAGTATAACAATATACGTATAGCAATATAATGTAATATATAAGAATGTAGATTGTTTAGATGCTATGCCTTGAAGTAATGGTCATTATATTTTGGGTATGGTTAATCTGATCAACGACCTATAGTGGCCATTTTTTTGCTCCATTCTGATAAAAGGGACTAAGAGGAATGTAAAGAAAAGTGTTATTTCATCTGATTATTCACTGTAGATAATTCTACATAGATATTGCTTCAAATAGCAACAACAAAATTCGTTAACTAGAAAAATATAATAATAATAAAATAATTAAGGATATATTATTAGGCATCTCGCACTTCCGCATTTTAGCAACACCTCCTAACTGTTAGCTCTGTTGTAACTCCTAGTTGTTGATTTCACATCTTTAGCATCTTGCTTGCCACTGACTCTCAGAGCACAGACAGCCCTTCTAGCCGAATGACGCAGGGAATATATAACACTCCCCAACTAAATTCACATAAGTCACTTACCATCCATTTTCATTAAAATTTACATTTAGAAACTATTTAAATTTACATCAGATACAAAGCTTCAAAACTGTTCACAATCAATTGATATACAAACACAAATTGCATTTTTTAACATTTTAAATAAAATCATCCAAATATTAAGCTTTATACATACGTATAAACATATCAGCTTTTTCTTTCGTCCATTGTAGAGATATTAGGTATTTTTGAAGCAGGAGAGATGAACAAAAGAGCAATACCCTCACCGGGACTCGAACGACGGACCTCTCGAATACGCGTCGAGCGTGCTGACCATTCCACTACGAAGGCATGCTAAGAAGGTGGAATAAATGCCTTATAAGCTCACTATTGGCTTTTTTGAAAGCTTTGGGAGTATCAGAGTATATGGGACAAACTCCTCCGGGAAAACGAAATCATAGGTATCCTAATAGTAAAGAATGAGCACTTATGTTCGCAACTACTTTTAATTGAATACCTTTTGTCACTGCACAGCTGAATATAAGTAAATAATAGTTTGAATTAAAATCACGTACAAAAAATTGCCCGGCGATGTCTACAACCCATATATCAAATGGTGGATGTTCTTGAATTCTATCAAGCGGTAAAATGGCAACCATCTGCGTTCGAGATTTCACACTGAATCGGCTGCAAATCAAACTGTTATTTAGCACAAAGCGACGACCTTTGACAACCAAAAATTATTCTTGTAAATGAATTAAAGTTG